TAGAGGTTAAGAGCATTGGTTGCTCTTCCAGAGGTCCTGAGATCAATTCCCAGAACTCACATGGTGGCTCACAACCATCTGTAATGAGATCTGGTGCCCTCTTTTGGTGTGCAGGAATACATGAGGAGGAACAATGTATACATAATAAATAAATCTGTAAAAAAATAGAAATGGCATTTAAGGATTTTTGAGATTTTGTTTTGTCTTTTTTTGAGATGGGGTTTCTCTACTTAAGTCCTGGCTGTCCTTCAACTTGCTCTATAGACCAGGGTGGCTTCTACTCTCAGAGATCCACCTGCATCAGCCTCTGGAGTGCTGGGATTAAGAGTCTTGCACATGTGAACATGGTCCAGTCTTCTTTCATCTTTAGAAATCCAGTTTTTTTCTATTGCCTGTATGATAAACTATAGATGCTCTTATTCCACTTTCTTCTTATAGGAAAAAAATATCCCTCTCTAAGCAGTTCACATTTTTATTTTATTTGCATTGGTATTTTGCCTGCATATATGTTTGTGTCAGATTTTGGAGTTACAGACAATTGTGAGCTGCCATATGAGTGCTGAGCATTGAACCAAGGTCCTCTGGAAGAGAAGTCAGTGCTGGTAACTGCTGGGCCATCTCTCCTGCCCATGCCTAGATTTCTTAAACCTCAGCCATTTTACATTTCCCTATACTGACTGACACTTTTCTGCATACTCTCAGGGGGCTTGGAGATGGCTCAGTGGTTAAAAGCACTAACTGTTCTTCTACAGAACCAGGGTTCAATTCCTAGCACCCACATGGCAGCTAACAACTCTCTCTAACTCCAAGATCTGACACCCTTACACAGACATACACTCAGGCAAAACACCAATGCACACCAAAAAAACACGTACTGTATGCATGTGCAAAATACTTAGACAATAAAAAATATTCTCCTTTTACAAAAAAAAAAAAAAAAAGGGAGCTGGAAAGATGACTCAGTAATTAAGAGCACCGGCTGCTCTTCCAGAGGACCTGGGTTCAATTCCCAGTGACTATACCGCAACTCAGAACCATCTGTAACTCCAGTTCCAGGGGAATCTGATGCCCTCTTCTGGCTTCCAAAGGTACTGAATGCACATGGTGCACATACATGCAGGCAAAACAACTATATACATAAAATAAAAATAAATCCTAAAAAAATATTTCAGATTCACAACTATGGAGTTCTACTCCATGGCAAGGAACACTGAATTTTGTCTACCATGATGAGCACCAAAATGACTTTCTCCCAATGTCTCCATCCCCCATTTTCTAGAACAAAAGTTCAAAGTATAGTGTTGTTGATCAGATGGGATTTCAATGCCAAAAATTTCATACTTTTAGAGTCCAAACCAACTTGTTTGTATACACTCTGTGGTCACCAAAAAAAGAAAAAGAAAAAAAGAAAAAGAAAAAAGAAAAGGAATTCATGCCCTGTATCTATTTAGATGGGGGCAGAGAAAGAATAGAAAAGGAAATTGTTTTCTGTTGTTTTTTTTAGACATGACTTCTTAAAAATTGTATTTATAAGTATGCAACTTAGTTCAACATGAAAAGCAGCTAACAGAAGAAAAAATTCTATATATTTATCTTAATCACAAACAGAACTTAATTCCCATAAGGGCTGACAACTGACTAATTAAACTAAGGGTTTTTTTTGTTGTTGTTGTTTTGAGGGGCATGTGTGGAAAGACAAAAGCATTTTTCATTTTCCGTAGCATTCATACCTCTCATTCCTACTGACAAAGCATGCCTTTCCTGCTCAATTAAACCTCCAGACCTTAATTGACTACTTTATTTTTTTTTAAAATGAGGTTATTTCTCCAATCCTGTAAAATATAATCACAAGTAACTGCTTGGTCAGGCAATTACCAAGTACCACCACCTACAGACAGCAGACCAAGCATCCAATAGTACACTTACATAAACACAAGTGGTAACTCACTACCCACAAAGATAATGTGGGTGGCTATACTTAAAAATAAATAGGGCTGAGAATGTAGCTCAGAGTTAGCAAATATGTCTAGTAGGGTCAAGGTACTGGGCTCAATACCCAGCAAAGGAAAACAGAATTAATCAGTGCCTCATTAATCTAATAATTTGGATTTTTAAAATGTACAAAGCCAGCTGGGTGGTGGTGGTGGTGGTGGGAGCAGCACACACCTTTAATCCCAGCACTAGGGAGGCAGAGGTGTGTGGATCTCTGTGAGTTCGAGGCCAGACTGGCCTACAAAATGAGTTCCAGGACAGCCAGGGTACAAGACAGGGTTACACAGAGAAACCCTGTCTTGAAAAACAAAAACAATTTACAAAGTCATCTCTCAAAAGACTCCTTATTTTCTAGTGTCTAAATGAAGGACTTTTGAAACTAGTTGAATATGAATTCTTTATTAATTATTTTTATTATTCTGTGTGTATGCCATATACACATGTGTGTGCAGGAGCCAGGTCTACGGCTCTCCATCTTACTTTTTAAGACAGGGTCTTGCATTGACCCTGGGGCTCACTGACTGTAAGGGCTGGCTAGTAAACCCCAAGGATCCTTCTTTTTCCACCCTCAGGAGCTGAGATTATAGGCATGCATCAACACAACTTTTTTTTAAATGTGGGTGCTGTCAATCTGAATTCAAATCCTCATGTTTTCAAGGCAAGCACTTTATTCCACTGAGCCAACTCCTTAGCCTCCTTAGTAATTAATTACTTTATGATTTGCATTTTATATCTTAATTTCACAACCCTAATACTGTCTATATAGGTGAATTACAAATTGTAAGTCGGTCCCTATGCTATTTCAATTTCCATTTCAATCTGGACAAACAATATAAAATACATGTAAATATGCTTTGAAATTTTGGGACAGGCACTGGGTACACTCTACCCTATTCAGTGGTAGAACACTTGTCTAGCATATCCAAGGCTTTAGATTCCACCCTTGGAGTGGAGGAGTGGTATGTTGGGGAAGAACTGAGGGTGGGATGGCATAGGAGCAACAAGGTCACACCATAAACCCACATCTCTAAATCCTACTATTTTCAGACATGAACTCACTAATACATCAAATTCTTGAAAGGTGGCAACTAAGATCGTCCTTGGCTATTTTTATCAAGTGAACATAATCTAAGTAACATTACCCCTTTGGATTATGTAGCAGTTGGTTGTGACCATTTGCCAAATAGGTTGGCTAAATGGTCAAGCAGGACAATTCAAATTAGCCAAAGAAAGGCAACACTGCTAACGAGAGATTTGGCTTCGGTGCATGTTTTCCCAGTGTCCACAGGCTTTTCCAGTTTGCCCAACTGTGGTTTTCCCAAACCTTTCCCTCTTAGAAAGGCCCCCAAAGGACACTCGAGTAAGGAAACATGATTCATGACAGCACGTACATTTTAAAATGGGGGCAGGTCAAAGCAAACAGACTACAATTGGTGTAACTGTAAAAGCAATGTCTGAGAACAAGAAAGTCTTTTTCATGCTCTTCTGTCCATCATTCCTGCCCTAGAGGAACAAGAGTACTTTAAAATGTTTCTTTTTTTAAAAAGAACCGCTAAACAATCTTGACGCACACTATAAGCAAATGTTACCAAGCCGTGAGGACTTTTTCGATTACCCAAGGTTCAAAAGGTTAAAGAGTTACCATCTGTCCTTAACATGAGAAGCATAAAAGGTTTAGTCAATACGCTGGCTATTTTAAATACCTCAACAAACTTAAGCACCCTGGTATCATAAAGAGAACCCAGTAGTTAAAACTAATTTCAAACTATCTAAAATAAATCTCGGGATGACTCAAAATGAGTCTCAAAATCCTAGATCCAAGCTCAAGTGCTTGTTCCGGCTTGTCTCTCACTTACTTTCCACCCCAACTTGTGAGTGTATATGTGTGTTTGTGTGTGGCAGAGGCCACCCACACTCAGCCTAAGTAGATCTCAGGGCTCCCAAACCTGCCTATTTCCGGTTTTAGTCTCTCCAGAAACCTAAACCAATTAACTCTAATGAGTCAATAGCCAATAAAACAACTCCTGAATTACATTTTCACAGTTTAAGAAGGCCGCTAGAACTAAAGGGATTGGTAAGCGTTACGGTGAAACTTGCAAAGAAGGGTGAATTGTTGAGATAATCGCTCTTTCAATTCACAAGGTCTACTAAGCCTTGTGTGCAGAGGCCCTACAGGGTAGCAAGACCGGAAGTCGGTGCAGGTATTGTTGATACAGTAAAACAAAACAAAGCACCCCCCTCCTCCACCTTCAACAAACCACACCAAAAAAAAACAAAAAAACAAAAAAAACAAAAACCCATGCCACAAAAACAACTTCCCCAGAGCACGCTCACCCCACCCCTCATCACGAGCCCCAAGACAAGAGCGCGAGAT